ATCCATAATGCATATGTCTGAAGGACTCCTGTGAGTCAAACTACCCTAAAAAACACAGTAACAATAAAGCTGATGAATGCATCCAATTGATTTCATAAGACAGAGCAAGTGAGAACATGGGTAGAATCAGAGATCTATGAACCCCGTTAAGAACTAAGTTTAAAGGGGAATTAGGATTCTCGCAGACCCCAGAGCAACTAGATCAAGTTTATGCCACAAGAGGTCCCCTACATTAGCAAAGCAGCTAGAGAGTTGCTGAGATGCAATCTGAAATGTCATTCAGAGTCAGCAAGAAAAGAAAGAGGAGGGAAAAAAAAAAAAGAAAAGAGAAAAAAGAACAAATCTCTGAATATGAGGAAGATTAAAAAAAATAACCAAAGAACAGAAAACCACTCTAGACTTGGCATTTCTGGCACCTGCCTCGGATAAATTCCTAGGAGATAACTACCGCATCCTGTCACTTAGAGAAGGAAACTAACATAAAAATATTTAAAGGTTGTCTTTTCTTATTTTGTGCTTTTCTTCTGCAATCTTTTTCAACTTCTTAATCAGTAACACATCCTTTTTCTTTGCAACAATTAAAAAATAAACCACTTATTCTTGAAGTTTTTCTTCTGCAGAAATCTGACACACAGGAAGGGCTTGTTTTGTTTCCCTGAAGATTAACCCAAACACAGCAATGCTGCAGGTAAATTCTTTGAGTGCTTACAGTACAAGAAACAGATGGGAATCCCAACATATTGTTTTGCACCAAGTCACAAGGATCAAATGCAAGAAGAAGGGGAGACATTTCCCATGGCCAAGGCTTTTCTGAAAGAGCAGATGGTAGGGAAGTACCATGGCAATAGACAAAATGCATAAACCATAACAAAGAGGGTTATGGGTTTTTTTAAGCCACAAGCACACATTGGAAGCTTCAATAACAAACTATGACTAGATTAAGAACTACTTAAATAACTTTTCTCCCTCCTCACACATATTTAACAAGCTGGGAATTTTTTTTTTTAGCATTGATGCACATCTGCAACTTATGTATCTTGGATTCCTGCATAAGAGGAGAGGGAAGTTGTGAATCACTTTAGGAAAAGCAGCCCACAGAATACATAGAAAAAGGTGTAGAGATGTATGGGAGAAACAGTGAACAGGAAGAAGAGGCAAGCAACAGTGACAGAACAGAAAGCTGGGGCTTCAATTGCTAAAAAACATGTAAGGGGAAAATCAAAAGCAGACAAAGATTAAAATCTTTAAAGTATAGTATTTCTCAGCATAAAAATTAAAATCTAAGAAAGTATGAATCAACAAAACTTTGGACCATGTGTAACATAGTGCCTTGTCCTGGTTTATTTTCAGGCCAGATTTCTTTCACCTGTAAACTCAAAAAACAGCAAATCAATAACCAACTGTAACCATGACTATTCATTGGAATCAGTCTATAGGCTACATAATCAAAAGATGAAGCTGTTTAAAAACTCATTAAATATCCCTGAAATAATGTTCTGCATTACTTTTATTTTATATAGATATACATATAGTGCTGATTTCTTATATCTGAACAAACAGGATTTCTGTCATGCAAACATTTACGTATTTGTAACTCACCAGTTCCTGATCTAAGGCACTAGGTACAGATTTGCTTCTTGTGCTCAGAGTATCCTCATTTCCTTCAGAGAAAGATTCACTCAAATCAATCTCAGATCGACTACGGTCTGAAAGATAAAAACAATTAAAATGTTTGCTATAATTTGTACAAAAAACATTCCATTTCATCTTCTACACCTTAATAAGTGCTGCCCCAAACCCAACCGTTTTTTAAGAAAAAACATCAAAACAATATTTTAGGTATCTGTCTCAAATTCTATGACAACTGGACATCAACATGATAAATGGAAAAATATGCTTTCTGATGCTGTTCAGCCTTCTGGTCAGTACTTTTTCCCCTGCATTATTTATCTGCAGTAATTGTCTCCCATGGATGATAATACAGATCAAGCTTTTGACTTTCTCTAGTAGGCCTGTCAGCCTGGAATATTGCAAAACTTGTGACAACCACTGTGAACACTTGGAATGCATCTCCCACCACCACCAAACTCCCCCCAGTGTCTGCTTCACAATCAATCAACTAGGGACACAGATGGACATAAAAAGTTACTTCTGCCATTACTGGTGCTCCCTGTGCAGAAAGGGGGAGGAGGCAAACAAGTTTCAAGACCTGAAGAAGTTTGTTTCTGTCCTACAGTGCTCTCATCCACTCTATAGGCAGAAGACGTATTAGATGTGTTTGAGAAAGATTTTCTTAGTCCTCCACATTAAAAATTTTTATGCTATTGTTCAATACATTGATTAAAAAAAAAAAAAAGAGAGGGAAGAGAATACTTTTAGATTCTACAGGTATGAATCTGGAAAGTTTTTAACTGTTCATCTTCTACCTGGGCTATAGCTCATGTGACAGGAAAGGTCACTCCCCAGAACTTAATGTCTTTGAGATCCTCCAAGAAGGAGATAATGAAGAGTTGTTCACAGGTTGCCGGCAATTTTGTTTGGCATCCATCTGCTTTGGTCACATGAGTTCAGTTCTTTTCTACTAGGAAAACCTTTATTTGATAAGGCAACAGAAACACAAGAATCATCACTTCATAAAGAAGTAGCAGTCCATTATACCTCTGCCTGGAGTCACGCTGTACAATATTCTCAAAGAAACTGATGCTTTCAAGTTGAAAAATCTAAGGTGAAGAACATTAGCTCTGTGGGATATGCCACTAGGCTTCTGCTATGGCTAAATTCAGCTGAAATAAAGCGAGCCCTGCTGTGTTTCAGAGAGAAACCTGTAAACCTGAACCCACTCTGTAAGAAGCCGACCAAGTGCTTGGGAGAAGCAGAAGAGTGCAGGGCGCTCCTGCCTCCTGTTTCAGATGGGAACAGGATCACCTCCTCCCACTGTTGCAAAGTGACTCTGACAGCACTTTCCTGGGCAAACCACATGTATGGAACAGCCTTCAACGAAATGAGGTAAATTACCGCTGAATAGACTGGTTCATTGCATCATGTATAAAATGAAATGACATGAAGTCTGTAAGGGACTTGTTCTCTGACAGCTCATTGTTTTCCAAATTTGCCAAATAACAGCAGCAGTACAGTAGTATTTTGCACAAATTGCAAGTAGGTAGTATTTTGTACAGTTGACCATGCAGAAAATGATTTAACAATGTGCAATTATGAATGAAATCTTGTAACGATTCTAAGAGCATGTGATTTACCCGATTGTGCCAATATTACTGGGGTTAGGATTACTACTTTTTCAAATGTAAAACTTATGGTAGAAACTTGGTCAGCAAAAGGGAAGACTTTTCAAAATGAAATTGAACAAATTTATGAAACTTACATCTGCTCTTTCAGCATGCTTTAAAAACAAAAGGAGCAGAGTCACAAGAACAGGAATAATCCTTTGATGATAAAGGCTGGCAGAAAGAAGGAAAAGACTTAATACTTGCCTGATGACAAAGATACCCTAGAAACTGCAATGGAAGGTGTTCCAGATGCTTTCCTACAGTGCTGCTTTACTAGATCTTCAGGTACGCTTTCACTTGTTGGAATAATCATGCCATTTTCTAAGCCAGTGTCCTGCCCAATAAGAAAAATGTATATCCCATAAATGCAAAAAGCAAGCTTATTCACTATCAGTCTACAAAACTGTCATTCCTATTATGTCCCACTCCAAATCTCCTTTAGCATCAAGTCTATTACTGAATATATTTAGATTACAATCTAATCTGCTCTGCTTACCACAGATCACGCATAAGATTTGCACAAAGATGTGATTTATGCATAAATTCTGAGTTTGCAACTGAAGAATCAGAGCAACACATCAGAAGTGAGAGGAGGGAAGTGAAACATTCAGATCTATTAAAAGTTCACTTAGCCTGGAAATTAATTAAAAAAAAAAGGAAAAGAAAAAAGATAAATCATGTTTTTATACCAGCATAATGACTTCAGTCAGGGTAAAACCGAATGGACTTGAACCAATTAAATGATGCCAGTATAACTCATTAAATAAAGCCAATATGATTGACATCATTATGGCTTTTTGCCTTCCTGTAAAGGAATAACTAATGACATAACTTCATCTTAAATTAAATGGATTGACCTTTTTCAACCAAATCTAATGCACTTGAAATCAAGTCAGTCTGTGTGCCCAGAAGAACATCAATAAAAACAACTATTAGTTTATTTACAGCTCCCAAAACTGCCCTCCATATATACTAACTTATTTTTTAATAGAAAAGACAATACATTAGACCAAGTATTTGGAAGTTAGAAAAAAAATGACGTGTTCAATAGGGCTCTGAGCTCAAACGCTTATCCACATTCCTCCAAGCATTAATGGTAAAAGGCATTACCTCTGACTATAAATTTCACTTTCCTTGTACATTCAAGTAATGGCAACTTAGAGTAACTTGTTTCTTAGGAGGGGTGACCGAAACGCATTCAGGATGGGTGTCTCAGTGCACAGCCGGGAGGAGCTGCTTGACAAACAGGCAGGCTCTCTGGGAACGAAGACAGCGCCTGCTTCTGGCTGAGATGAACCACATCCTTCTGGTTGTTATGAAACAGTGAAGGCAGCTAGCTCAGATGGGGCCACCTACATCTCAAGAGGCCTAACGGCAGGCAAGAGGAATCCTGCCTTTCATTTTGGTAAACCACCTAGCACACGTTTTGTGTTATTTCATAATTTATGCAGAGTCCAGTGTCCAAATCAAGAAAAAAACTAAAATCAGTATGGCCTGATTTTCTGTAAATGCTGAGCTTGCAACGTTTCCCTTAGAATTCAATCAGTGCATACTGGACCCACTGCATGCTAGAAAGTCACATCCTTTCTTCACAGCACTTACTTAAGTCCTTGAAGTGCCAAAAACGCTTATTCCCATCCCTTGTGCTTCCTACTTCAGAATCTGTAACTCATTATGTAATGCTGGACATGAACAGCAATTTTTAGACATAAGAAAAATGTCTGTTAAACCAAAAACCACATCACTGACAGAGCATCACAAATTCTGCTCTACTAGAGATCTTCACTGGTCCCAGCAGACTTAAGGAAGAAACAAAAATCTTCTCTGTCAGGCTTGTCCTTTCTGGGCTATAAATTGATCCAACAGGGCAGATGCCAAACAAGATGACTTGGCTGGTGTCAGCCGTATTTGGTGTCAGCTCTACATGACTGTACTTACCCTGCTATAGTCCATGGTCATGCTCCGCGTGCTGAGCGCCGGAGACCTCGAGAAGGAAGGTATGGAAACATTGCCTCTGTTCATAGGACCCATGGCCCCTTTCAGATGGCCTGTGGTGGCCTCTGCATCACTGCTGTTCAGTGAAAGAGTGCTCCCTCTGGGATGGAGAGAAGAGTATTAAAGTGTTATTACTTTGAGCAAACCAAGGCAACGCATTTAGCAAACCAGTGCAAGAAAACGGCCATGGTAACATTCTACTAGAATAACATGGCCATGGGTGAACTGTGTGGTCCACTGCAGGGAAACGATCACCTGGAAAGAAAAACACAGGCAAGGGTGAATTACAATTACTTTATACATACAGCTGGTTTTAGCACTTCTACCCGAACTGCGAATAGCCCAAATGGGCAACTTTTGTCCAGGCTGTAGAAGCTGCGTTCATCCATGTTCATTTCAAACTGCATTCGCATCCCAACAGTACATGTGACAACTCATTTAACACTTCCTACCAGGCTGCTCCTTGGTTTAAAGGAAAACTACAGTGACATGACAGTTCTGGCCACTTCTACAGCCAATGTTAACATCAGTACTATCTCCAGATATTCTAAAATCCTTGCCTATCTGCTCTCTATCCTCTCCAGAAAAACAACAATTTGCTCACTGTTCTATTTATATTGCAATAATGACTTTTTACCCAAACTGATTGATTCTTTCAACCAGGTTGGAAAGCTAGGAAAGCTGGACAAGTCTTTTTGCCACGTTTCCTGTTAGTAAAGGTGACAAAAAAGCATCTGTGATCAGCATGCCAGAACCCAATTGCCATCTAATACCACAATAGGCAGAAATTTTTCCATGGGACATTTTCTACTAGAAAACACTGATTAGTCCATGTGAAGATGGAGGGTTAGAAAGGGTAAGCTGTTGCACTTTTTTGACCTTTTGAAACAATGAAAATTATTTTAAAATGTATTTCCACACATTTCCAATTAAAGTTTTATTTTCCTTTGAAATTTGATTAGCAGTAAAAATACAAGTTCTTGGCTGATCTAGTCGTCTTTCTCCACAAACATCAGTTCAAGTTTTTTCATTTTTTTTTTCCACAACTCACAGAAACCTCAAAAAGTCTTGCAGGGCAGTAACAGTTCTGCATAGATTTCTACTTATTACTTTTTAAAAAATTACTGGTAAATAGGAACAGATGCAGGAATTGCACCCTTTTCCATATGGAAAATACATTGTCAGAGGACAATAGTAGTGAACATTTGCTGGAGAAAATTTTTGGAACTTACAGCGGATTTTCAGCCAAAAAAAGGCTTGCTTAATAATCTTCATTGTGTTGGGCAACAGCTGAATTTCACCTTCACTTGGTTTAGGCTGTCATATCATGTTTACAGTAACTGCAGTAAAAATCTTCTCTACCACAATGGAAATTTTAAGTAGAGCTACTGTTGAACTGAGAAAAAATACCCTGGAACACAACAGCTCCTATCTCATCACTGCATTAAGCAGTGAGCACAGGCTCTGAATCCACATCGGTGGAGTTATTGAAAACAACAAATACAAAGAAAAACCCCAAACACCAGGCCTGTCTACAAATGTTGTGCAACCATGTTTTTGCCTTTTAGTGAACATATGCTAACCTTTTTAACAATCACTATCCGATTTTGTATATTGACAACAGTAGATAATGTATAATAAACACACTCTCATGCACGTGTACTTCACATACATGCACTGTTACTTTTTAATTTGATGAGCTAATGATCAACAAATCCTGCTAATCGTGCTTTGGTTTAATTTTACTCCTATCTGTTTACAGAAAGACGCGCCTTTGGTGCTGCAAAGTCAGAAAAATCAAGGTTACTGGCTGTCATCTGTATTTTATCAAAGCTGTTGGACTTAGATGAACATATCTTAATTTCCAAACCTGCCAGTGTATGGAAGTAGCCAAAACATTGAAAACCTGAGTTATATTGCATGCCACATCACTTTTGATGGATTGTTGTGACTCTGTTACAAAAATTGTTGTTACAGACTTTTTTCCCTCATTGTGTGAGCTAATGAAAATCAAGAGAAATGTTCCGAAGTAATAGTGGCCTGGGATAAAAGATTTGAAAACCTGTTACAAGGAGTTCTACAGGAGTCATCAGTTAGACTGAACACTCGCACATCAAACCTGCTTAAACAGATCTCTTCTGTACCTTGCTCTTATTTCAGTCTGCTATTAGAGAGAGGTTCAACACATTTTATACACATATTAAGTAGACAAGAAAAGAAAAATGTTGTCATAAAGTGACTATGCCAGGCATTTCCATGTGGTAGACAAGTCCTCAGTACAATGGGGTAGTGTTCTGTGTAGATGAGCCTGAAATTCCTACAAATCCTAGAAGTATCCTGAGGCAGGCTCCCAGTTCATTCAGCTGCAAAACAAGTAAACATTTTTGCTGGAGTAGAAATGCAACTCCAGAGATGAACTCGTGGCCTGGGACTCCCTGTTCCCAGCTCAGTACATCTTCTCTTACACAAAAACGTTTAGAAAGAATAAAAATTTTCTCTCGGTTTCCCTGCTGGTAGGTGAAATACTACCAATTTTGGCAATGCAGCTAAAAAGATGAGGGTAATTACAAAAATCAGAAATACACAGGTAAACCTAGGACAGCTACTGTGTCACAAGGTGGTGTTATATTCCTTTAATTTGAAACTCAAAACGGTTACAGAGAGCAGCCTGGGAAGTTTTGCTTTTATTTTTAATAACAACTACTCAGTTCCATAAATTAGCAATAGATGAACTAAAGCAAACATCCTCAGCTGATGTTAATTAAGCATTTACCCATGCATTCACAAGATAGAAATTTTCATCCCTCTACTGAGAAACATAAGTTGCTCCTCAATTCTTCCACAAACTAATATTTTGAAAGCGCATATTTTCCACAGACAGTAAAATAATTCAGCCCCCCTACCAAAACCATCTCCTGGCAAAACAGATGAGTTACTACGTACTTCGACACAGAACATTGATTTGGCCAAGTGAAGACGAGATGACAGGTAGAGAAGGAAGCTACCATAATGACTCAATATCCCTAATTTAATAAATCCCACACCCTGGCTCTGGGTGAAAGCTAGAAATTGATACTTTATGTGAAAGTCAAGCAGGGCAATCAAACCTAAAGGCTATTTTTACAGACTACTTCACTCTACTTACCCTTCTAAGTCTGCACACAGAGCTTTATCAGCTGTTGAATTCTACCACCCCTAACAAAACTATTTTATTTCATTTATGGCTAAATTGCATGACAAATTTCTTGCAGTCTGGCACATCAGAACAGCTGCACAGATCTCTCACAAGCATTCTTTTGTCCTTATTCCGGTAAACTCTTAGAGTTTAACTTAGAGAAAGTTACTTAATATTGCATACCCTTAATGTTAAGCAGCAGAGACACCAGATTCTTAAGTTTTTTTCTCTTAGATCCTTCAATCATCTCTACTCTATTCAATGAAAGGAGAAAAAAAAAAAAAAAGGGGGGGGGGGGGCAGAAAACCAGCAAAAATACTACTTCTGTTCTCATAAAAGTCAGGTATGAATCTGGTTAGATATAGAAGGCATAATTAGCTTAGTCAAAGAAAATTTAGTGAACTGTGTATCGATTAAAGAAGAAAAACTAGCTTTAAATCTGATTTGGCTAGTAAGTGCTGAAGCATCAAGTGGAAAAAAAAATCAAATTATCAAATTTCAAGATGATCATCACCATCAACTTCAGGCATGTTGCAGAACATGCAGCACTTGGGCTTTGGAATTGTAGGTAACAGAGGGAAGCAAGTTCTTGCTTTAACAAGAAAGCTCATCTGTTGGTGAATTAAACTTCATGATGTTCCCTTTACTTGACATCCTGCGTTCTTGTATACCTATTTGGAGTCTCCCAGGAAAACTGTTTGAGAGCTAGAAATTTCTATTTGATCTTACAGCAAATTATTTTTCAATCCACGTTGTAAAATTTCTAGGTGGGTGCACCTGAGCAAAGAATGTGGGTCTACATCCAGCATAGACTTTCCAATCAAACAAGAAAAACGCGAGCTGTTTGTTTGGCTTCATTTTGGAGGTGGGACGTGAGAGGAATGTTGCATCTGGCATGTTACAAGGCTATCAGAGACAATAACAGAGATCTCTTAAGCCCAGAAGAATGATAAATGGAATTCTATTAGAAATACCTGGGACAATAATCATGGAAAAAGAAGAGCAAATGGAGCCTTTGAAGAAGAAAATATAAATTATAATCAATTATCATGTCATTACTGAAGAAAAACCTTGGAACAAAGGGCCTCAGTTCTGTAACATGAACAGAGTTCGTCAATTAAAAGCCAGAAAACAAAAAACAACATACTGACAGCAATCACCAATCGAGCACAAGGAGAGAAAAGGAAGATGGATGGAGATAATTTGTGGGGTTTTGTTTTTTTGGGGGGGTGTGTTTTGGGTTTGTTTTTTAAAAATAAATGCTACTTCTCAGATAGTGTTAATGTTGAGCATTCAAAGACAAAATGCAACACAGAGGACCAGCACACACCCCTCCTAGGTCAATCCCAGCATGAGCTGTACCAAATTTCTGCTGCTTACCTCTCAGAGCAAGGCGTTGACTTGCCACTGTGCAGACTTTGAGCCTCAGCATCTGAGCCTGCGTACCTTTCATCTTCATCTTTTTCATTTCTACTTTCTCCTTTGGTAACTGCCCTAATTACCCTCCTGATGAAAACAGAGAATAATAGATTTTAAAATTGTAAGGTTTCTCCAGGAAACGGCAGTCTGACTGAAATGCCGTGATGTGCGCAATTGATTAATTTCGTCTATCTGACATACAGACGACTTTGGATATTACGGTCAATAGAGCAACAAATCTGGTTACCAAACTGATTTCTGTGAACAAGAGAAAACACCATATTTGCTATAAACTGCATTTTAAGACACAAAGCATTAAAATATCTCTCCTACTCAACATGAACCAGAAGCGCCTTTTGTGAAAATTCCTCTCTCAATTTTATTTTTCTTACAGTTCACACATAGCAACGTATTTTTGACTAAGTATGTGTATTTTCCTCTAGCAAATTACACTACATGCATTTTCTCTTAAATATTTCTTTGCAATTTCCACAATTAAATGCATCAACGGCCCAAGCATGCTATTTTTGGAAAACATAACATCACCGCCTTACCCTGCAACATGTGGCCTAATAAGACAGAAATAAAAGACATTAAATAAAGTTTTGCAAAGTAATAGTATTCTTCATAGACTTACAAACAACAGCAGACTGTTAAGTTATCCCACAAGACCAAGTGTCAGGAGGCGTTGGCCCCAAAATGGCTTTGCTAGAACAAATCCACTCATGAGATACATGAATGTGGAACCTGAGGGAGTAAGAAGGAGCAAGGAAGGAAGAGGAGGAATAATGAACTACTACTAAGAGAGGCCACAAAATATAGCAGGAAAAGCAGGCCTAATTGTTTTAGCATTAAGTTTTCTTTATGGAGAATGTCACCACCAGAAAACATTTAAGGCCACAAACTGAAAAATGATGAACATCACTAAAATAAACAGACAATCATAAAAAATAATTGTTTCTCATAGAGGAATATGACTAACAGGTTCGCACAAAGGATTTAAATGAATATAGGATTAGAAAACTAAACTTTGATGCACTCTTACTATAGTTGCCAATTAGAATGATTTAGACTAACATCTAGGGTCCTGTTATAGTAGATTCCCTAAGTTGGTTCTTTCTTCACCTTAATTTGAGAAGCCAGAGGCATTCCGATGCTTTTTTTCCAATATTAAAGAGAGATAAATAACTCATGTTAATTTGTGGAGACATTGAAACAAGTCATTCCATACTCAGCTCTCTTCAGAAGTAAAAAAGCTGTAGAAAGCTATCTACCTACCCTATATTTAGGATTCATAATAAAACATGTTCTTTCTTCCAACAGAAACAAAGTTTTTCAACCACCAACCCATGGAGCTCCAGCTACAATATGAACATTCATCCGATTTTTCTTCTCATGCACCCAATAACCTCAGGTTACTTCCAGACACCACCTAAGCAATCTCATATTCATTCAATGCATCTGTCTAAGTCCCCTAAGAGTAAGCATGCACACCTCTAAGAGTATAGCCAAACTGGGGTTACACGCATCAATGAGACTGCAAGATGACCAGCAACATATCTGTTTATTCACTGTCACACGCACAAAGAAGGAGCACTGCTTGACTGTTAGACTGAATTTGCACAGCTGGAAGTTAAAGGAAAATTTCACTTGTGAATATAACCAACCAGTATACATAAAAAAACAGGCCCTCTGAATGCTATTTTTGCATTTGCTTCTTCAGCAAACCAGCCTTTAGGGACACCCCAAGCATAAAAAAAGAAAAATCCAGGAGTGAAATTGCCTTTTTTCTGCTCCCTTTATAGCTGAAGAGTAATTACTGCTGCATTTCCTAGGAAACAGCAGTTTAATTATAGCACTTTTAAATGAAGACTGTTTCTAATGGAAGTTTGAGGCTGATGTTGAACGCTGGAGAAACTCAAAATCCATTCGGTCATATACAGCTAGTACCCAATTTATTGGTTTCTAAGAGAAAAGGCTTTACCCTATCTTTTTAGGTCCACTGAAGACTGATTTATGCCCAGTTGTGGAAGAGACCGATGCTTCTGGCCTTTTTTCTTCATTCTCTTGGGGCTGATCTTTAAATGTTCTTCTTTCATCCTTACTGGAAACCGTATCTTTCGTGAGAGGGGAAAAAAAAAGAAAAAAAAAGTGTCAATGTTTGCTCAAAAAGCCAGCACATGTCAAATAACCTACAAAAATATATTCTCCATTTTTCAATATTAAATAAAACCATATGATAAAATATCATGCAAAAAACACCCTCGAGTTTCTCATTATCAACTCTGAATTTATCACTGACAACATTTAGTAACTGAAGGACCTGAAATATAATTTTGTGGTGTACAATACTTTGTGTTAAATGAAATTATGATCTCCCAATTAAAATGCTTCTTCTACTAGGAGCAAGGTGTGGGAAAAATGGCTTAAATATATTTTTTAATATATCTATCAAATAACGACGTAACAAATCAAAAAATACCCAATTTGACAGGCTGTAAAACATCAAAACCCAAAGAATGTCAGATATTTGCTGGTTTGGCAGTTTCTGAAGGACACTGATATTGGCAAGATCAGCATTTTGCCAAGCAGTATATTCGCACCAGGCATTTTTCCAATGGCAGTAAACCAGTCCTTCTCCCTGCGAACCACCCGTAACCATCATCTTCCTACTGAAAGTGATAAATGCTACATCTGAAAACAGGCTACCTAAATAACAGCTCCTGTGCAGCGTGAAGTAGTTAAGTGAAGACAGAGGCATCAGCACTCAGGAAAAACTCCTGTTCCTTAAACCAGTGGTCCTGTGGTACCATGCAAGGCACATGGTACGTTTGCTGTGCTTGGTCAAGACAGCACGGTCTTCTGTACTTAGAAGCACAGGTGCAATTTATTGGAGATATATGGGCAAAAGGAAAGCCAAACGAGAACTGAGAGGTACCAAGTAGTCTGGATGTAGCCCATGCTCCAGCATACAGGATAGGATATAAATGTTATCTTTCTTATTCAGAGTTGAAAAATAAAAATGGAATACTTTTTACACACCAGCATCACAAATTGAGAGCCAAAAACAAAAAATGGCTGAGTTTAGATCTCTGCATACTGCCAAACTTCCTGGCAGCAATTGAGAATGAACTTTTAGAGTCTCTGCTTCTGGCTTCGGAGCTGAGTAATAATGTCCACCTGTTTGGACAGTGAGATTTTAAGCAGCACTCTATCTCCACAGAGTTACTTCTTCATTCATCTATAGTCCACCTTTACTAAACATTAATTATTCACAAATCACTGCATAGTAATATCTAAATATGAAATTAAGATTAAAATACTGATTATACTTACACCTTCAACAGTGAAGAACAAAATTCAACACAAGTTAAACACTCTGGAAACAAGGTTTGAGAGTACTAAGTGCAAGCAAATCTCTTTTTTGTGGTCCCTACCTGGGAATTTGCGTAGGATAGACTGTCTGACAACATCAGTTCCAAGAAGATTTGATTGTTTGAAGCGCTTTGCTCTCTCTTCAAAAAACCATTCTCCTGTCACTATCCGCAGCTGCCTATATGGGAAAAATGAAGAAAGCCAAGGAGAAGTGCACATTAATGAACTTGCCCAACCAAAGCTACTTCTTAAACCCTTAGGTCATCATTCAACTGTCATGCTCACAAACTCTGGACAACATCTGCACAGTTCAAAATAAAGAGTAAAAATACTGATTGCAAAGCTTGGGACAGTAGGATGTGTAGCAGAAAAATAATATCATCTTGCGTTGTGAATGAAACATAATTTTCAGCACACGGAAATTTACTTGGCAAAAAAAAAGTGTTTCAACCACATTCACCAGATTTCCTTAGAAAACATGTAATATACTATCTCCCTAGTCTTACGGATAGCGAACTACTCAACCGCACAGTTTTCAGTATCTCCAAAACAACAAGAAATGTAGAAACAACAGTGGATGGAGGGAGAAAAACCACCTACCAAAGCTCCTGCCGGACATGTCAGCAGTTCATGGACACAACCTGGCTATATACAGCTTGCTACAAGCATATATAGACATATATTTCATCTCTACATTTCATATGCTGCCCCTATATGTAGTTTCTTCACATGACAGTGATGTTATGAATTCACTGTCTCAGAGATTCAGAACAATGAACTTTTCTCTTTGCTACTGTTCTGGATAATGCTGCTTTTTCTGGTTTCGAATTCTCTTATGTATACTAGCAAAAAAGAAAACTTGTACTGGCATTGCTATTCTCCGTAGGTATATTTTTATCCTGATTGCTAGCCTTTTCCTGAACTAGTTTCATTATGGTAAAGCATGACCATTGCTACTGCCTCACTATGTATAGTTGATGGCAAAAAGCTACTAATAACAAAATCATAGAATGGTTTGGGTTGGAAGGGCCCTTAAAGATCATCTAGTCCCGGCCCCCCTGCCACAGGCAGGGACACCTTCTACCAGACCAAGTTGGTCAAAGCCCCATCCAACCTGGCCTTGAACACCTCCAGGGATGGGGCACCCACAACTTCTCTGGGCAACCTGTGCCAGTGTTTCACCATCCTCAGAGGGAAGAATTTCTTTCTTAGATCTAACTGAAAAAGCCGTTGCTCCTTGTCTTATCACTAAATGACTTTTTAAAAATCCCTTTCCAGCTTTCTTGTAGGCTCCCCGTAAGTACTGGTAGGTTGCTAAAAGGTCTCCCCGGAGCCTTTTCCAGGCTGAACAACCCCAACTCTCTCAGCCTGTCTTCAGAGGAGAGGTGCTCCAGACCTCAAATCATCTTTGTGGCCATTCTCTGGACCTGCTCCAACATGTCCATGTTCTTCTTGTGTTGGGGACTCCAGAGCTGAATGCAGTATTCCAGGTGGGTCTCACAAGAGCAGAGTAGAGGGGCAGAATCACCTCCCTCAACCTGCTGGCCACGCTTCTTTTGATACAGCCCAGGATATGGTTGGTTTTCTGGTCTGCAAGCGCACATTGCTGGCTCATGTTGAGCTTCTCATCCACCACCACTCCCAAGTCCTTCTCCTCAGGGCTGCCCTCAATCCATCCTCTGCCCAGCATGCATTTGTGCTTGGGATTGCCCCAACCCACGTGCAGGACCTTGCACTTGGCCTTGTTGGACTTCATGAGGTTCTCACAGGCCCACTTCTTCAGCCTGTCAAGGCCCCTCTGGATGGCATCCCTCCCCTCCAGCATGTCCACACCACCACACAGCTTGATGTCATCAGCAAACTTGCTGAGGGTGCACTCAATGCCACTGTCCATATCACTGACAAAGATGTTAAATAGCACCAGTCCCAATACCAGACCCTTCATCACAGATACTCAAATAAAAATCCTAAAATCTAATACATTAAAAACTGATTTATCTCCAGACATGATACTGCTTTGTTTAAGCTCAGTAAGAGAACTTATTTTCAAACCTATGCCAGAAAAGAAATCATGCAGTCTCTTGTGCATGAGAATTACTACAGATGGATTTAGAGCACTGATCAACATCTTTGCTATTAAATTACTTTCGAGTCATGCTTGAATGGAGAGTCTGACTTGGGAAAATAGTAAAAATTATAGAACAAGATCCTGTTATCAGTAAAAAGACCCGAATATCATCAGTTCTTCCTAACCTATTAATGAATCATGCATCTTTGCATGAGTCATTAAAAAAAAAATCGAAATCCAAAACATGTGCCCACAAGAACAGAAATAGAAGATTATTGCCTTATCTTCTTGTTGCAGACTCCTAGTGACAAAGCCCTATATAATTCATCATCACAATCAGTCAGTCATTAAGCAAGGCATTAAATAAAATCTCTGCACTTCCACTCAGAGTTTTTAAATTACATTTGTTAGACACAAACACTGGAAAGGATTCATTGCATTGGAACCTACACATGGTCTGGCTAGTCTGATAAACATTTTTTCTCTGAACATGTATTCTTGCAATTCATTTACAGCATGTATTTCTCTGTGTAGTTATTTTTACATGAAGTTTTACAGCAAGTGCAATGCTTTAGATCAAAACATAAACCTTTCAGACCTTTGAGTACATCATCATATTCCATTGCAATATAAATGACACATTACACTACAGTATGAACTACATGGTTAATTCATTTTTTTCCTCAGTTACTCCCAGGTTTGACCATAAAACTCTGCAAGTGTCATTTTCTCCCTGGATACAGATTTTATTCATCCCTAATAAGTTACAAGCAATGTGTAACTTGATTGAGGTCAATCCCCACCTCCTTATCTAGACAAGTGCCTTCACCCTTCTCTGAGCTCGGGACAATCCGAAGGAGGAGTGACCTATGCCCAGGGCTTCAACAGTGTGGGAGGCTGCCCCATGCAAAGCTCTAGGCTTTTAGAAGCAAAAATTTGTAATTATTTCCATACCCAACCTTGAACTGTGCCACCCGCCTGGGCTGCTGTGGTTCATGGAGAGGCAGCCCCTCTGCCACAGGGTCCCCGGAGAGCCACCTCCTACATTTTCTGGCCGGATGTGAACAGTGATGAAAGAAAGAAAACCTTTCTGGTGTCTCCTGTGTCACAAGCACCCAGGGGACCTCAGCCTGGGCAGAACAGTGGCTGAGACCAGTGTGCCTGCTTCTTTTACTGTATATTAGTCTTATAATCTGATGAAGAGATTCAATCTTGCAGCAGCACCAAGGGCTCAAGGAGGGTCATGGGGGCTGGAGAGATCAAAGGAGCTACAGCCAAGGGAAGGATGGCTGAGACAGTTGTAGGAGGAGGCCAGGAAGGAAGAGGGTGGAGGACTTCTGGGCTGTGCAAGGGAGCATCAGTGGGGGTGCTGTTGGTGGAGGGAGGAGGTCCTCCCACAGTATCCATTCCTGGGAAAAGGCCTTCCTTTCCTCCTCCTCTCCACTATGGTATGCGTCACTCACATCCTTAGAGCTCACCATCAGTCTTCCTCTCTCTGTCCCCATTCATCCTCTGACATCTCAACAACCTCTCCTACTCCCCAATTTGGGAGTGAGGCAGGAGTACTGTGGAGAAGGACTTTCTCTTCCTCTTGCCATCCCCTTGTAATAGTAACTGCTGATCCCATACTCATCTTCTTCACAGTCACATAAAGCTGTTCAGGGAGGAGACAGGTTCATCTATTTGCGCAACAACAGTTGATCCCTGTATGTTCTGGCAAAGGATAAATAAGCAATCTACTTTTCTTCGTAATCTCTCTCTGCAGGCAGTAACCTGCCACCATTAAATAGTCCCAAATTACGCAGCTGGTCTCCTCTTAACCAAAGAAGCCCAGGGTCATTGCTTCATGCTCTGGCAAACACAGATCAGATCGCCAAGAAAAGAGGAGGGTGCGAAAAATCTCTTTTTCAGGCCTGAGCAGGCAAGAGAGTGCAACAGCCACTGCACCAACAGAGCTGAACCATGTGCTGGTTCAGCTAATGATGGTAAACTGAATTGCCCATCTTCATGTGGCTGATCTTATTAAGTAGTAGTAAGATCTGCATTTTAAATTGAGGTGCCAGCTCCTTGGCACGGTTACTTTAAGGAGACCCACACCCATTCTGCTCTGACTTCACCGAGAGAACCAGGTCTGAGGTAAAACACAGACAACTCCCTCAACCGAGGCATCAAACACACAAATAAAGGGAGCCTTGGCTTGTTTTAGTCAAGTGCTCCACCTCTCTAGCCAATCCTGCTATCCACAGCAAAGGGGAAAAAACACCAGCCATCAATAGCCAGCCATTGCAAGCATCACACGGAACAAGTCTAGAAGCCTCAACTTTCACTTCAGACCTTTATCCTTATTATCATCAATGTTACCATTAGTCTCGGAATCCTAACTTCAGCTGGCAGTCCTCTTTCGTGAAAGTATCCTTACCCAACAGATCACCTCCACAAAAATAACACATTCTAATGAAATAAGGGGAAAAACCCTAAGCTCTGCAGCTTTGAATTTCTAATGCACTAATATTGGATGTATTTTTCACATATACTGAACAATTCACAGAAAGATTAATGTTCGTGTTCTCTTAATCATTCATGCATGTCAGGAGAACCTATTAAAACAATTTTTGTTCTACACATAAATAGAAATTAATTTAGATTAAACGATTGCCCAAGTCTCTGACTTGAAGTTTGAATTTCATAATTACATTTGACATTCTGAATCAAAAATTGAAGAGCGAGAAATAAACAGTCTTATAATGTTATTTTCATGCATTTATAATTATGAAAAAGGGAGACTGTCTTTCCTACTGAGATAGCACATATTTCTTCTATTTCTGATACAGGACTTAAATGAACCTTTCCCTCCTAAATAACTGTTTC